CTACCCTAGCTCAGTCCACTTTGTGTGGACATTCACTTTACACTTCTGAGCTCGTCCCCAGGCCAACGCTGCCCCTTGGCCACTGGTCAGGCCTAGGGTGTACACACTTCCTGTCAGTAGGACAGGTCTCAACAAGAGGCTGATGTAGACTCAGAGTGGGCTCAGGGTCATTTGGGCAGAGAATTCTGGGATCCCAGGCCAATGCACCTCATGTGCGGCCACCACTCGGCTGACAGTGGAGGTTTGCGTGCTGTTATGATGCTGAACAAGTTTCAGTGGAGCTTCCAGACTAAGATGGACTAGGAAGAAAGGCCTGGTGATCTACTTCTGAAAATCAGCCAACGAAAACCTTACAGATCACAATGGTCCTATATGAAGTCAGTCATGGGGATAGCACATGACTGGGTAGTATTTCAGTCCATGGTGCATGGTGTCCCCATGAGTTGGGGGCCAACTCAATAGCCACTAACAATAACAATAAAAACAAAGACCCTGGGGCATGGTCTAGAAGGGAGAGTGGGCTCCAGGTGACATGTCCTTTTGGCCCTGTGAGCTCCTCACCCTGTGTGGAGAAGTATGGCCCTTTAAAGTTCACGGTCTAGGGCAGGGGCTCTAGTTGCCAGGGTCTAAGGGCAATACCACTTGCTTCTCTCCCTTTCACCTCCCAATGCCTGCCTTTTGGTAATTCACAGCTTGGCAGTAGAGCAAAACTTGAAGCAGTCCAGTTAACTACTTGTTATAACAGCCTTGGTGAAATAATCGTTTAGGGGAAAAGTCTGGAACTACAGCTTGAACTGTGTTGTTCTCCTGTTATCCTTAATGCTACTATCTTCTCTCTTCCACTAGAATGGATGATAGAAAGTTGGTTGTGATTAAGCTTTTCTTGGGTAAAGTGTCATAAGGATGGCTAAGCACAAGTTTATAGATCAATTGCAGTATTTCTGCCAGTGTACTGAGTGGACTGAAGGAGGAGTCCCTAAATCTGTCAGCTCTGTCATTTACACAGCCCCTTGTTTGAAACACTTTCCTGGATCTTTCTGCACAAATGTTGCACCCTTAGGACGGTGTGGAGCCAGCTCCAAACCTGGCCTCCGCAAACTGGAACCGGGACTGTTGTCTTGAGAGAGCCATATATGAGCAGGTAGGAGTTCTGCCCAGGAGAATTCCTAAGGTGTCACTGGGCCCCAAACACAGCTGGGCACCTTTCTGCTACTCAGGAAGCCCTCCGCTGAGCCCAGGGTAGCAAAGACTGAGACCTGATGTGACAGTGCCGGTGACGACCCTTCCAGCTCACAGTCCATTCCTGTAAACGATCTGTCGCCTCCACAGGACCTGACTGACAAGATCGGTAAAGCCAGCTTCTTGAATATGAAAATACCCAAACGACTGCATTATCTCTTGGTATTCTGGAAGCTTCTTTCATTTAGTTCAGTGATTCTAAACCTTATTTTGGATCTCGGATCTCTGTGTTCTCAAGGCTGGATAATTACCGCAGGACATGAGTGCTCGCCCACACATTAGAGCAGTGCTGTAGCCCCCTTCCAACAGCAAGGTATAATCAAAAGAATGTCGAGCAAGCAATCTGAGTCGTGAGCACTTCTAGCCCCAAGCTTCTATATACATTCTGTTCATTAATTTCCTCACGGGCAGGGGCAGGTTATCCAATAGGCAAGGTTAAGCACAGTGCTTAACTTGCTTACCAGATCATCTGTAGTGAACAATTGCACGTTTTTTCACCACATCAAAGATTCCGCTTCTAGGTATGGCTGGTATCTGTCTCTCTCCCAACCCCAAAGCACCTTCCTACAGAATCAAAGCCTCGTTTCAAATTTAAAATCCCTGACAGGGGCAGATGACCCAGTAAACAAGGTAAGCACAGGCTTACTTGTGCTTACTTACTAATCTGTAGTACACAACTTCACATGGGTCTCACCACATCACTGTGCTGGTGAGGAGATCCCTCTGTGTTTCCATGGTGCCCTATTAGAACACACCTCTCACTAGGGCATAAGTGTAAGTTAAGTTTTGTGTCCTCCCGGTAGTCTGGGAGGACAGGGGCAAATCTCTAAGGCTGTATCCTTAGCACCAGCTCCTAGCAGGAGCTCAATAATATGTATGAAATGATGGAATGAGTGGATGGCTTCTGACAGCCGCAGCCCCCTCTGGTTGCTGGACTGGAGATGAAAGATGTTCTTGGATGACTATCCAGGGAACTGGCTGAAATCATCTCGGCATTCTGCTGCTTGCATTTAGAAATAGGGTTTGGATATACGTACCCAAAGTACACACCAAATGAATCAGATTACTACACTTTTTGGAGGGGAAAGACAAAAATAAATAAATAAACCTTCTATTTTTATGGTCTGAGAAACCCAGACTATTATACCCTCCTCAGTTCTCATTAATCAAATAGAAGATCCTTTGCCTTCTCATCTGCTCTCTTCAAATTAATCTAAAGTTTGACAGTCCCAAGGCATTACTAATTGTACAGCAGCATCATTTATATCCCAAAATTGGAACTGGCATACGGATCCAGCCCCAGAGTGCTGGTTAAATAAACTATGACAGAATCAACTGATGAACTGTTATGCAGCCCTTGACAATGGTGCTTACAATATAATCTAAAGTTAAAAGGTGAGACATAAAATTGCATATGCAGTGTGACTGCAATCGTGCAAAAAAATCAAATATATGCATAAAAATCGAAGGAAATACTGTAAAATGTTAATATGGCTGTGTTTATGTGTTAGGCCTATGGGTGATTTTTCTCTAGGTCTACTTTGCAGACTATTTCATATTTCCTTAATGACCTTTAATATTTTATTCTCACAGTAAAAAAAAAAACAAAATCAACAAATCATTTAATTGTTCATTTAAAACATCTTGTTCTTTTCTGCTATAAAACGTTTGGCTATTGATACTGGCTGTGTCTGTCGGAAAGAGCTGCATTGAAGAGCACAGAAAAGACCCTACGGTTAAACCAACAGAAGCAGCAGATGGGAACACATGGAAACTTCTAGACTAGCAACTGCCCAAGTAATAGCGGTCACTGACATTCACTAAGCCCTTACTACGTGCCCAGCATTTTACATAAGTTTTTAAATTACGTCTTCATATAAACTGTAGGAGATAGGTATTACTGTTACTTCCAATTTATAGATGAAACTGAGACTCAGAGTGGTTAATTAATTTGCTAGTAGGAGCCACAGGGCTTGATCCCAGGCCAGCTCTCTCCAAGGTCTGCCATTTTGTCATCATGCTCTCCTGCCCCCTCCAGTGTAAAGGAGAGGCTGAGGAGAAACGAAGCACATCTCTGAGAAGCACTTCCTTTCATGCAAGATCTCTTGTGTCAGACAAAGGCACAGCCTCCATTTCCATTTTCAGCCTGAGCAGAAGTCTCTTCAGATAAGTCCTCAACTGACTGCTGCCTGACTAGTGGAGATGGTCTCCAGTAACCACTTAGTCACCATATTGTCTCAAGTCTCTAACCAGTGTGCAATCCATACATTGTCCCTCTTTGCACATAAATTCATTGCTTTAGGGCACAAGGCCATTTATAAATGCTACCATCATGGCCAAGGTCCCTAGGTGGCACAAACGGTTTTTGCTCAACTGTTAACCTAAGGTTGGTGGTTCAAACCCACCTAGCAGTGCTGCAGAAGAAAAGGCCTTGCAATTTGCTTCCATTAAGATTACAATCAAGAAAACCTTATGGAGCAGTTCTACTCTATATAACACATGCAGTCACCATGAGTCAGAATTAATGTAATGGCAACTAACCACAACAACCACCATTGTGGCCAATTTTGCAGACCCAGACCAACACAGATACAGTACATGCTGGCTTCCCAGTTATAATGTGAACAAGGGTTGCTCTCTACTTGGCAGCACAGTTATAGACGATCTTTCTTCACGTGTTTGTTGAAATTTGATTCACTCTGCCAATGTCAACCAACCAGGGGCAGATTATCCAGTTAAGCATGGTGCTTACCTTGCTTACCAGACCATGTGTAGTGAACAATTTCACATGGGTTTCACCACGTCAAAGATTCTGTTTCTAGGTATGGCTGGCATCTGTCTTTCTCCCAACCCCACAGCACTTTCCTACAGACTCAAAGCCTCTTTTGAAATTTACAGTCCCTGACAGGGGCGGATAACCCAGTAAAGCAAGGTAAGCAATGTGGTGAAAAACATGTGAACTTGCTTATTACAGATTAGTAAGTAAGCACAAGTAAGACTGTGCTTACTTTGCTTACTGGGTCATCAGCCCCTGTGACTGACTGAATACACTCAGCTGACACCATGAGGACACACAACACTTTGAGGCTCTGTTTCACCATCTCATTTTCTCTGCACAGAAGCCTACCGGTATAACATTTCTAGCAGTGCAGGAGGGGCAGGCTTTACTACAAAAGAATTCCAGGAGAAAAGAGCAGAACACTTGGAGAGGGTCCAGACCTGCTGAAGTCAAGTATGTCACAAAAATAAAGCAAGTCCCCTCATCCCCACACCCAGGAACGGTGAATGGGGGTGAAGTGGGGGAGGAGGAGATGACAGATCTCATTTTATGAAATCAGTCATGCAGATCCGTCTGAAAGAAATGGCATCGGGCTTAAGGGAAATTCATTGCAAATTAAAACTAAAAACAAACATGTGACACAATGGAAATAATGAGAATGCTGACACATTGTAAAAATTGTAACCAATGGCATGGAACAATTTGTATAAAATTTTTTTAAAAGGGGAACCTAATTTGCTGTGTAGACTTTCACCTAAAACACAATAAAATGTTATTTAAAAACAAATCTGTGAACAGGGCGGGGGAAACTTAATGAGGAACAGGAAATGAATAAACAGAGATAAATCCTAAAAATAAGACCAAATCCTTATGGTAAGTGTTGTGAGAAGAACTCCTTGGGGTTATTATTGTACCCCACTGTGCTATCCATTTCTTTGTCCTGTCCCCTAAAGACAAATCTCTATGGTATCTGTTCACTCACTTTCTCTGGAATTGGACCACAGGATCAGCAAGCAGGTCAGTGACGTCAAGCTTTCTCCCCTTCTCGATGACATCTCGATGCTTGCGAACAAACAGCCACCCGATATGGGAGAAGAAGAAGCCCCGGCGGGCATTGTGGGGATCAGCATCTGTCTCTGAGTACTTGTGGTGGACTCGGTGGTCCCTGGACCACTCAAAGATGTCATTCTGCAGGGAGAAAAGAAGCCAGATGAATAGACAAAAAACCCTGGTGCCTTTTTGGAAAGCTCTGAATCCGTCTCCCCATCCCCCCATCCTACCAGTCCTCTCTGCTCACTTCCCCAGCTCTGCTTTCCTCCCATCTTCAGTCTCAAGATCAATCCCTTGTGTTGGTCTGGGGTGTTTTTCTTGGAAAAAGAGCAAATCTTCACTTGCAGGGACCCCAGATTATATCTGGGTTGTGCCCGTTGCAGGAGGTTCAGGCTTATTGGGTGACCTGAAAGAAAGCTCCGGTGGGGGTGCTGTTGAAGTCTCCTGGGAGATAAATTATGCCAAGAAAAGAGAGAGCCAGGCTTGGGATGAAGTATTGGTTGTCGGAGGAGAGGAGTAACCTTGAGTATGAAAGGTTGTTTGTTCCTAGCCTGGCTCTCTCTTCCCTCCCTGTCCTACTTTGATGGCCTTCATGTCCGACTTTTATAGAGTAGGAAGCCACTAACTAAAAACCCCAACAGCTCCTTTACCAAATCATTGCAAAACACCAAGGCACACATGACACTGCTTTAGGACAGCTCTAACAGAATGTAATAGAAAGGGAGGGGAGGTGACTGTGGCTCCTTGAGGAATCCTGTGTACTTGGCAGTATCTGCCAAGTGGAGAAGCAGCAATGCCTGATAGCGCAGGGCAGCACTCACTGGAATCCCAAGAGAGACGCAGATGTCCAAGGGAGGAACAGCGTCAGAGTCCAGAGAGGCTGCCAAACCTGCAGAGTCAAAGTGGGCTCAGGTACACACAGGAGACACACACTGAGGCTTCTTGACCCACTTGTGATGGGGAAGGCGAGAGGTGTCAGGTGGATAGAGGTCATGGGTGAGCTATCAAAGGCAAGAACTCATGACACTGACTGCCCTGGGGGTGCACTCGTTAAGAACTTGGCTGCTAACCAAAAGGTCTACAGTTCAAATCCACCAGCCGCTCCTTGGAAACCCTATGGGGCAGTTCTACTCTGTCCTGTAGGACTGCTAGGAGTCGGAATTGACTCGACGGCAACAGGTTTGGTTTTTGGTTTGTAGACTACTACAATTAATGAAACCTAGTCTACAGCCAAGAAGGTCCCTGGGTGGCACAGTTTGCGCTCGACTGCTAACCTAAAGGTTGGTGGTTTGAACCCACCCAGTGGTACCATGGAAGAAAGACCTGGCAATCTGCTTCTGAAAGGCCACAGCCTTGAAAATCCTCTGGAGTGCAGTTCTACTCTGTAACACATGGGGCTTCCATGAGTCAGAATCAACTCGATGGCAATAGGTTTTTTTTTTTTTTCTCAATCTATAGCCATGGGCCAATTAGATCAATAGACTTTCAATTTACACTAGGTTTTCTTATCTGACAATGCTTTCAAAACTTTGAGAAGAACATTAGATTAGGAAGTAGTGCTTTTGATAGGAAAATTAATCTGAAAATAAAAATGAACTTAAATAGTGTATAAGCTTTTTTTTTAATATAACAATACTGGTAGTAATGTTTTACACCATAATACTTAGTAATGTTTTCATTAGGAATCTGCCATTTCACAGACTTCATTGACTTCATTCTGCTGAAGAGAAGGGAGGGAACTGTTTTATCCTCAAAGGTCCAGCGATTCTTTTAACACAAAGGGGGTTCACTGAGTTTTTAGTTTCTCTGGCTCACCCAACACTGCTAGAAAACTACTCAGCCTTGTTTATCCGACAACACCCCTGAAAACTTTTGAAATTTGCCTGACCCTAAGGTAAAGGGGGGGAGTCCCTGCATGGTGCAAACACTTAATGTACTCAGCTGCTAACTGAAAGGTTGGAGGTTCAAATCTACCCAGAGGCACCTCAGAAGAAAGGCCTGGTGATCTACTTCTGAAAAATCAGCCACTGAAAACCCTATGTAACATAGTTCTACTCTGACACACATGGGGTCACCATGGTTCAGAATCAACTTGATGGCAACTGGTGGTGGT